TCTCTCTCTCTCTCTCTCTCTCTCTCTCTCTCTCTCTCTCTCATCCTCTGCTTTTAGTGCTTATGAGAATTAATCGAAATAGAACAGACGAGGAATGAATGAGAAGCGAGAAATGAGAGCAAAACGAGAGGCACATTTCATATCATTATTATCATTTATATAATCAAGATGTCATGGCAGACATTTACCTATCATTATCATGGCCGAGCAGCCACACACCAATCTTTTTTTTTTTTTTTTTACCCTACCTAATTCAATTACCTGGCGCTTTTGTGTTTAGTAATAACAACACATTGTGCTGCATTTTGGGTTTTGAAATTAGGTGTTAGTCTTAGAGTAAATATTTTTCGTGGGTGGTTGGCGGGTGCTCTGGTGTGGTTTACTCCTTCTTTCCTATCAAACATCTATTGTCTTTATCTCCCCTCCTTCTTTTTTATGTTTGTTACTCTCTTGTAACACCTCTAATCTTCTGGCGCTCATATGACCTTATGCAGTTGCGAGCGCTGTATAACCTCTACTAAAACAAAACAAAACGGTTTTTTTTTGTACGAGATGGTCGGACACCCCTGGAAAAAATGATAAATAAGTACAGTAATAAGTTTCCCGTATAACAACTCCCCAGAGACAAGGGTAAGAGTAAGAATAAGACAAAATGAGTACATGTACCAAGGTGAAAATGTAGGTGATTTTTACTCGTAAAGTTAATCCGATCCGCACGCTTTGCATAGCAGTCTGTCAAAATGATTTTTGAGAAATATACTGAAAGTGTCAAAGAGAACTTCGTACTAGAAATATTCTAAAATGTGAAGAATACAACCCTGGAGGTACAAAATGACCCCAAGGCGTACGGATAGGGTTAAGAATTTTCGTTTTAAATTATAATAATATATCGGGGCGCCCCCATCAACACAATGTAGATCATTTGGGTGCCATGGGACAATAGCATTCATGGGCAGCAGCACTTCACCCTGATCGCGGAAGTAATCGGGGTTTTTTTTTGGGGGGGGGGGGGGGTGAAAGTAATTTTCAACTCTCCATTCTTAATTAAGATAAATTAACGGGGTTTTTCTTTTCGAGCATGACGTCGAAGCGACTCAGATATGATTTTATTGAGAATGGAGACCCTTGATGTGTGTAATAGGGCAAGTAAGTTCCGAATGGAGTGCTCAACTTTACTTTTACCATTTTTTTCTGGGACAGCAGCAAGGCCTGCTAAAAAAGGTTTGAGACTTTTGTGTGTATAAGAATTTATTCCGAACTAATTTAACTGCTGGTTAGACAATACCACTTTTCAGAGGTATCTGTTATTATAGAATCCATCGCGTTAAAAGGCTGTTTTCGGATTAATCAGATGCAGTCTCTTTGCTACAATTGTACAATTGGTGTACGATTTGAATTTGACCTGATATGACCTTCCAGACCCCTTATCATTACATTTCGGAAACCGATATTATTTATGGCTTTTCGATGTTACAGTAACATATATAATTATATAACATGTATAATACATGCATACATGGAGGCGAGCGGTACAAGCGGAAATAGAAATGGCGAGGACATCATGGAAGTAGCGAGAAAAGGATGCACAGGACAGGCTTTGCTGGAGAAATGTTGTTGATGGCCTATGCTCCACTGGGAGTGAGAGAGAGAGAGAAAGAGAGAGAGAGAGAGAGAGAGAGAGAGAGAGAGAGAGAGAGAGAGAGAGAGAGAGAGAGAGAGAGAGAGAGAGAGAGAGAGAGAGAGAGAGAGAGAGAGAGAGAGACAGACAGACAGACAGACAGACAGACAGACAGACAGACAGATAGACAGACAGACAGACAGACAGACAGAGAGACGGAGAGAGACAAAGAGACAGAGAGAGAGATAATACATGCATAGTGGTCTCCTCCAACGAACCCGATCGCCTGGAGACATAAAAGGTCAAAGAGGAATAATTAATAAAACACAGATACAACGATAAAAATCATGATTACTTCCGGGCAACCTTTGACTTTCGACCTTTTGACTTTTGGGTGAAAGAAGCCTTGCGCTTCCGTGAGATTTGTATTCCCGAAGGTGCATTGTACACTGGCAGATCCGGGCCGTTGGGCTGACCGTCGTCAAAGTCGTATCTGTCTATACCAACCAATCGTCTGACCTCTGGTGACTTGGCCACTGCAGGGTGTTGTGTGAGCTTCAGCTTGCTCATGTCTTTGCCTGGATGCTCAGCTTCGCCCATGAACCTGTGAGTGGGAGAGACACAAGGAATAGGTTTTAAGAGTTCTTGTTTTATATAATAATTATCGGGGCTATCGCTCACCTTCCCCGTAAACCATGCTAGAGAGTAGGAACAGAATGAAGGGTTGATTGTCTGACCACTGTCAGACAATTTTGTTCTGTGGAATAAAATTCCAAAAACGCCCAACTGTAATCTTTGTCTTTTCTTATATTTTTTTTACATAGAAAAGCACATCGACACAGTAATGGTCATTTGGTACTTGGAAAAAGTGAGACAGACGGACAAAAACCCCAAACGGGAAAGTAAAGAAGCAGGAAGAAGCAGGACTTACCAGTGGTGCCCTCTAACCACCCGCTCAACGACAACACTACTAAAAAAACCACACAGGCGTAAGATTGTTTATGAGGTGGGATCCCCACATTTAACGTTTATCTCCAAGAGGACCGAAACAAGTTGGTGGAGAACCTTTAAAACAGCGAGGACATTCCAAGTTCAAGAGTGCCTCAGTGGGGATTGGGCAAGGAGTTTAGAACTTTTAATCTCCTTGGGATTGGGACGATCAAGGGCCTCGCCGTGGTGCGTCAGTCTTTTCTATGGGTGGCAGTTGGTTAAAACTATCGTTTATTTATACACTGTATTGTGGTCAGAGATTTATCTAATTTTTCAGACAACGCTAACATATTATTCATAATTGTTTTTGGCGCTATACAAAAGTCAAGCAACGCAAATACATGTCAGTTAAAATGTAATCTTAAAATAATAAAATGGAGTGACTTTGTCACAAATACTGAAGTGTATTGGAAAAAGCTGGGACTTGAGAAATCGAATCGACCATTAAAAAAACAAGAAAGAGATATGTGGTACACGTTTTAAAAATATCAGAGTCAAGATTGCCTTTTCAGACAAGGTTTAATTGGTGACCAAGTGGAAAAAGAAGAAGAGGTAGACCTACTGGCAGCTATAGGGGTGCGATCAGAGATGAGGCAATCACTTAGGGGCTGGATGCGACAAAGTTAGAGGAAAGGGCCAGGGGCAGACGGGCCATGGCGTCTATTTCTCTCTCACCCTCTGCATTGTTTACCTGAGCGAGCGAGTGAGTGAGTGAGTGAGTGAGTGTTTGAGTGAGTGAGTGAGTGAGTGAGTGAGTGAATGAGTGAGTGAGTGAGTGAGTGAGTGAGTGAGTGAGTGAGTGAGTGAGTGAGTGAGTAAGCAAAAATCAAATCATTATTCTCACCTCAGGATTTTCACCCCTCTAGAGCCCCAGTGAGCTGTGGGTTCCAGTCCTTCATACGCTTCCAGCTTCACTTTGAGGTCTGCTTCAGTGGCCCAGGCCGCGGGTGTCATGCTCACAAAGGCCAGCGCTCGCCACCGCTCCTGGGGGAAGAGGGAGGTTACACAGAAATGATTAGTAATTAATTAGTAGTGCTGGGCGGCGAGGTTATCGATTATTTAAAGCTAGGAATCGTAGAAATCGACTCCGAACCCAATTACTTGCTTTCTAATGGGTTACCTGGTTGGCTCCGAACATCTTCAGGATTTAGGATAACCTTGATTTCGGAACTCTACGAAGCGTCATTTTTGATTTTTCAATTTCAAATATTAATTCTTTTTTTTAAAAAGAAGATTTTTAACGATTAAAGTAACTGGCAACCTTTGATGTACGTAAAAAGGAGTCGGAACTTTTCTTCCGTAGCATTAATCGTGGGAATCGGTTCCGGAATCGATTCTTCGCCCAGCTCTAAAATTAGGCTAGGCCTACCGTACCTTTTAAAAAGTACGGTGTCTTATTTTGTTTATTTTATTTCATTTTTTTAAATTTTATTTTATTTTTGCTCCACTGTATTCAAACTTAGACATTGAAATTGACAAGGACGATGTCAGAATAGTAACACAATCCCTTGAAAAAGCAGACACTCGTAATAGTATGTAATATTATCATTATTATCAATCGTCTATAACTATAGTTTAGTATGATGACAAACTGGTGCCTGGTTCAAGAGTACATGTAGAAGAGGTCGCTTTTAAACACAAGCGGGCTCACCCAAATTTCGGGGGTTTCCAAAAATCTTGACCCACACCAAAAGTGGACTTTGCCCTACTTATAGGAGAAGTTTGGTTTCATTGGTGTACATGTATATACATGTATTTGTTTGGTTGTAGAGAAAAACTCTCCTTGTCTTTTAGAGAAACTGAACAAGGAGCAAAAACGTTACGTTCCATTTTCTCAAAACAACATTTTTCGGTATAGCCCCCTTGTGCTTAAAAGCGACCAATTAAGACCTAGAAAAGGAAACTGACCAAGAAGTTGTTGAAGAAGAAAGTGTATCGTGGGACAGAGGAAGCTGTGGTCTAATGCACACTGGATTGGAGGAGGTGCATAGACAAGAATGGCACATTTACACTCACACTCACACACACACACACACACACACACACACACATGCACACACACATATACATGTATATATATATATATACATACACACACATACACACACACACACA